GTTTAGATTCAAATTGCCCAACATTTGTCACATCTGATAACATGGCCATTGCACTCAAATTATTAGTGTTGAAACGGTTAATCAGTTAACCGATTTCAGGTAGTATTTCACGGGTAACCGGGTCTGATTTGAGATAATCGGTTAACCGTCAATTCTATAAGAAGTAAAAAGAGGGCAATTTGGACAGAAATTTCGTCACTGTGTGAGTCTTTAAGCTTTAGTAAATAAACATCTTTATTGATTGAATAATTGTGATTAATAAATCAAGATAGGGTATCAAATATCAAAACGCTAATGAGTTGCAAGATTTGTTGTCAAGATTTTTCAAGCCTCTTTTTTGAAATAAGTTAAACTAATTACTCGTTCTGAAAAATCGCGTTGGGATGGTCTTAGTTTGTCAACAGTCGCCGTGTGCACCGTTATGTTTATTAGGTTAAACACACAAGCACTGTAGCTCTATAATCATTATCAGACGTGCGGCACGCCCCACGGTTCGTTGAATCTTGTTATTATTTTTATTGTATTGCGGAAATGTAACACAGTGTTTTTTAAGCATATTCTAGTGTTTTAATAAGTTTTATTATTATTTTTATTATTTCATTTGGGTATGAGTTGCTTAGAATGAAACAGTTATAACGATCGTATTACTTTTTATTAACTCTCCTCTAATTGGCTGTTTGTTTCTTCTTGTCTGTCAATGAGCTTCAAGCTTATTAATATTCATGAGTACAGATTCATTGAGACAATAGATTTATACCAATTGTGGAACCAGTACACTGATTCGTGGCGACTTCTATGAGATACACTCATTACACTGGCCCCACAACTGGTATAAAAACCTTTGATCTATTAGAGACTGTAGCAATGAGTGACAATGGCGTCAGTCCGTCTGAACTCTGTCAGGCCTGCTGGTAATCTTACAGTGAAGCAGACACTTCAATACGTTGTTTGATATCTGTCGATTTGTACTGACAATTCGCGGGGAACTAGCCAAAATATTCTTGGGTACTCATTTACACATGCTCTAGTTACGGTTCGTAAAATTTACTAACCATTTCAACACTACAAATTATAGCATGTACTACAGCACAGGAATAAAGTAGTCCACTTTTCTCTCAAAGAAGATGTAAATTGTACGCTTTGGAGAATTTAGCTAGAGTGAAAACAGTAAATAATAAGCATGATGTTTTTGTATAAAGGGTGCTTTTGCCACACTTACACTGGGTGGTGGTTAAATGGATTGTAAAGAGGTTTTGTAGCCTTTTTATGTGTATCAGTAAACCTTTGACTTCTATTTAGGACCTTCCAATTCCTAATGCCTGTGGTTCCTGCAATTCCAGAAAGAGTTAAATGGAAATGACGCAGCTCTCGCAAGATAATTTGTAACCAACCTAACCGCAGACCACAATAACATAAGAATATATGTTATCTCCCCTTACTTAGTTTTAACGGAATGGAAGAGTTGTACGATATCTGTGCAAATCAGCGTGCTAAATATCCTTATTTATGATCAAATGAAACCCCTTTATAGTCCCTTTAACACTGGTATGACATACAGAGAAAGGACATAAAACAGAGTCAGTATCAAACCGTTCTTTTTGAGATGGTTTGTTTGACTATTGTTTCCGCTAATTTTATGTAACTAAGGCTTCATGCTAGAGATAGGTACCTCAATAAGACCTCAGATTATACTAAGATTCTGAAAATATCGGTTGCATAGTAAAGTATTGTTGAGAACAGAGATCATACTTCTAAATACAGGTATACACATATAGATATACATTATTATACGACCACATGGAAATGTGGACATATATTGCCGTCGCTCCTGTCCGTCATTTGTTGTATGCACGATAGAGGATACAGTTTTTATCTGATCTTGATGAAACTTGGTATGCATGTATATATTGATGAGATCTCAGTCAAGTTCGAAATTGGTAATAATGAACGGTTTCAAAGTTATTGCCCTTGACTTGGTAAAAACAGGTTAGATTTGGCTTGTATGCACGATAAAGGCTGTAATTGTAATCTGATCTTGATGAAACTTAGTATACATGTATATATTGATGAGATCTCGATATTGGTAATAATCAGATGAATGGTTTCAAAGTTATGCCCTTGACTTAGTAAAAATGCGTTGAATGTGGCTTGTATGCACGATAAAGGCTAGTTATTGCCCTTGACTAAGTAAAAACGCATTAAATTTTGCTTATAGTTATGATACAGGGTGCAGTTTTTATCTGATCTCAATGAAACTTGATATGTATGTATATATTGATGAGATCTCAAGTTCAAAAATGGTAAAAAATGGATGAATGGTTTTGGAGTTATTGCCATTGAATTAATTCTGCGCGTCTAATTTGGCTTGTAAGCCTGATAGAGACCTGGCCACGTATTCTCGAAACGATCTTAGTGCTAGGATGTCCTAAGAATCAATGTTAGAAGATAAGAACTTAGGACGTCCTAACACTAAGATCGTTTTGAGAGTATGTGGCCAGATTTTTTATACAATCTTGATGAAACTTGGTATGAGATCTCCGTAAAGCTTGAAATTAGTAAAAATAGGATGATTGGTTTCAAATATTAAACCACTACAGACTTTGTTATCATTTCTGATAGCTGGTAGTGAGCGTATGTTATCTTGCCTGGTAAGCTATCTTTTTAAAAGCTTATGATCCCTTCTCTCAAAATCAAGTGAGTTTTTGCTTGTAACAAAAAATATACACAAAGCTTTATTTAATGACAAATATGCCTAATGAGTTTGCATTTAGAAAAAAAAGCTAAATTGATACATTTTCTCAAAAGGCATTTTTAAAAACAATTAGTCTCCAACATCGAATTGAACAGAATTCAACACTGTTTTAGGTGATGCTTTGCCTATCTGAGACTTTTGCATAGTATATTTATGAACATGCTCTTCATTTAGATTGAGAAATTCTAATCTGTCAGTTGGATAAGATTCCTGTACTTTCTTCATACTTCCAAGTTTGTCTCGTTGGCTGAGGAAATATACTGCATGTAGACCACATGTATTGAAATCTTTGTGCTGAAATTGTATATCATTGCTTACAACATGAACTTGTAGGATTTCATGGAGTGGTTTACCCATAGAATCAAAATACTCATATAGATCTCCAGTTACAAATAAGGCTGTGCAATGTTTCATCACAACTCTTGAAGCTAAGCCTTGGAAGCCATCATTTTCTATCAAGTAACAACCATCTTCTAATCCACTGGGGATTCTATCTATTGACAGCCAATCTTTGAAATTGTTTTCCAATGGGAAAAGTAAAATAAGTTTATTTATCTCCTTTTTAGATAGTCCATATTTTTTTACATCAGATGTTGCAGATTCTGTAACAGAAATTTCGGACAAAATCTCTGAGTTTTTCAAGTTCTTGGTCTCTGATGGATTTGGGCAGAACTCTTCTTTTTCTAGACCAGTTGATTTTGGATTTTGTAAATCATTTGTAGCGATTGTTGGTGTTGAGTCTTCTGTTATTAGAGTTTTAAGGCCTTTGGTCGTTGATGAAGTTTGACTGAAGTCTTTATTTTCAGGACCAGTTGATTCAGGATTTTGTAAATCATTTATAGAGATTGTTGGTGCATTTTGTGTGGAACTTGGTTGTTTTTCTGATTCTTCTGGTTTTGAAATTTTCAGGCTTTTGGTCATTGATGAAGTCGGACTGAAGTCTTTGTTTTCAAGACCAGTTGATTCAGGATTTTGTAAATCATTTGTAACGATTGTTGGTATTGACACTTCTGTTTTTGGAGTTTTCAGACTTTTGGTCGTTGATGAAGTCAGACTGAACTCTTTGTTTCCAAGACCAGTTGATTCAGGATTTTGTAAATCATTTGTAGCGATTGTTGGTGTTGACACTTCTGTTTTTGGAGTTTTCAGACTTTTCGTCGTTGATGAGATTCGACTGAAGTCTTTGTTTTCAAGACCAGTTGATTCAGGA